GGCCAGCTTCCCGCCTGTCCTGGCACCGCAGCCTGTGCTGCCCCCCAGACGCAGCCGGCAGCAGGCCCCGGCTCCTGGGGAGGGCGTGGGAGAAGGAAAACCACACAGGGGTCCACTGCCCGTCCCTGAGCACTAGCTCTGCACTCCCATTAGTCGGATCCTGCACCTGGCTGCTTCTGGGGGCAGCCTGGTCTGCGGGACCAGGAGAGGCAGGAAGCTGCCTTAGCCCCCCTGCTGCACCACTGACCGGGAGCCGCTTGAGGTCAGCCCCTCCCACCCCACAAAGCTCTCATCCCAGCCCCATCCCGCAGCCACACGCAAGCCAAACTATATTGGGCTGCGGCAGCAACAATTTCCTTCCACGGGGTCACGGCTGCAGGGGAGGCCTGTTTTGCCTTGACCCCCCACTGTGTAGTGTTTGCACGAGAAGCCGTGCGAGCTCACGTTCATTGCAGGCCAGCGCGGCCCGGACAGAACCCTCCCACACGTGAGTTTCCCTATGGCTCAGCAGCCCTTGCGCAAGCCTGTTTGCCAGGCATGGGGGAATTCACCTAAGAATGCAAAACAGCGCGGGTCAGTGCAGTTGGAGGCGCCTGCAGGGAAGACAGTAGTTAAAGTCGCCCTCCTTTGGGCTGGTGTTAAATCCACCTCAATCCCCTGATGGCAGTGGGGAGGCAGAGATAAGGTTTGGATTACTCTGCAGCGGCCCGATAAGCAGCAGTCAGAGCATTGTTGGAGCCTGGATGCGGCTGCCGATCTAGCACCAGCGGGAGGGCCCGGGATGATGACATCTTGCCTGCCAGAGCCTGGCCAGCGCTCAGCCGGAGTTCACGAGCCCGCCGGCGAGGTCGTCCGCATCAGCTCGACGGCTCCCTTTCCAAACAGCGATGCCGATCGCTCCGCTTAGCCCTTGCTGCGGCTTTGCCTCTGGCCCTGCGCCTGCTCTAGGTTCGTGGTGCTTCACGGCAGACACAGGCCATAGCCCTGGAGGGAAGCATCAGCCCTTGTCCAATGCAAGCAGCAGGCTGGCTGCGCTGGAGCGGCCAGAAAAAGACAAGTTAATATGGTACCAAAATTCATTCACGGCCCCCCAGCTGCTGATGGCTAGCCCCGAGTCCCCACACTGGGCAGAGGGGAGCCTCCGTCGGGATGGAGCTATGCATTTCGCAACAGAGCGTTCACGCACATGGAAATGTACAAGCTCTTCTCCCTTGGACATGCGCAGCACTGTGCTAAGCGTCAAAGGCGGAGAGGCAGGAGGAGGGGAAAGGCCCCCCTACAGACCCACTTAGCGCGGGGGGCGGTTTCTGCTCCCGTTGGAGGATGCCGTCCGTTACCCCAACTAGTCCCAAGCACTGCAGAGAGTTCATTCAGCCCGACACCAATGGATGAAACGGCATTTATTGAGAAAAAATGGTTTGCTACAAATACATCATTGATTTTCTTCCAAAAAACAGGAGGTCTCGTGAAAAGTTCAATTCGTATGCAAAAGAGTCACAACACCACATCGAACAGCACGACTGTCACCCACGCCAAACGACACACAACACGGGGGGACCCACCCGCTGCCTATCCGCCCCGGAACCGGGGGCCAGACGGATCCACACCTGGAGCAGCAGCAAGCGTTCAAGGGGAAGGCGGCCTGCGATCTGCAAGGTATGCTCAGTGCAAGCCCCTTTCGTTTCAGGGACGGAGAACGGATGCAAAGGGAGCACAGTAAATAGTCGCTTGTCACATACACTGGGGGCATTCACCCACAGATCTCAGCGTGCTCTACCAAAGCAGGTATCCTTGCCGTTGCTGGAGAGCTGGGGAAACTGGGGCATGGAGCAGTGGCTTGTTGAAGATCTCACAAGATGGCTGGGGCATAGCCAGGGATTGAACTCAGGCCCTGTAAGTCTAGCCACAGGGCCAGGCTGCCTCTCTAGCACTGGTCGCACCCTGCCCAGGCCCACTGCCCACACAAATCAAGGTGCCATCCATTATTTCAGCAAGAGAAAGGAGTCGCCAGCAGCAATTGCGAGCCTCCTTGCGAGCAAACTCCCCGTTAGCAGCAGCTAAGTGACACCGACTTGCGCACCCAACAGTACAGGCCAGGGGCGGGGATCTGGATATGGGACTGGCCTAAACAGGGAATCCAAGGGAAAGGGGCATGGACCAGCTAGGCAGAGGCGCCTCGGCTCACTGGTTTTGTTCACGTTTCCCAGGCTAACTCCCAATTCAAGGGGTTAGGACTCAGGAAACGGCTTGGGGCAGCCCTGTCTCTGCTAAGCGTTCGCCCTTTGCTCACGTGTTGTACGGACGACTGCAGCTTTCTCGGCGTGGGGGCGGCTAGCCGCTCTGGGGAGCAAGCTTGTTTTGCAATATTGTGTTACTGTTTTGGCCGAGGCAGGAAAGACCCTGTATATTACCAGCACCTAAGCCCAGAATTTGCACTCTTCAAACTAGGAATGTAGAGCAAACTCTTTCAAGAGTGCCCAAGACCCAGCCGAAGTCAGAGGGACTGTTAAAAGATCTCTCAGGCCCCAGGCAGACCAGAAGCAATCCTGGGGAGGGATGGCTTCTGGCCTAGAAAAAGCAGCCACCTCTCAGGTCTCCATGTGGCTGCAAATGGCTAACCTGCTCCCTTCCCGGCCTGGCTCCTGGGCGAGCCGCGAAGACGTTCACACCCCGGAGACAAGGGGCAGATCGGTGTTGAAAGGCTACGACGGTCCCAGACTGGGACGGAGCCAGGCCCCGAGTCCTAGCCGAGACCCGCCGTGCTGGCACAGGGAGCTCAGCCAGCTACCCCGGAACCTGCCCCGCGGCAGCTGCTATTTCAGCCCAATGCCGCACAATGATTTGATGTGCCCCGTGCGCGGCCTTTGGCCGAGACCTTCATCAAGGGCCCTTCTGCTCAGACCCGACGGCTGCTGCCCATCTGCTTTCAAGCGCTCTGCACAACTCCCGCCCCCGGCCAGTGCTCTCCCTCGATAGCTGGGCAGCTGCTGAGGGCAGACCAGCTGCTGCACCTGCTGCGTGTGGGAAGACCTCTAGGGCACCTGCAATAGGAAAGGGGCCGCATAAACCCGAAGTCCTCCATGGAGATGGGGCATCCCATATGATCAGCCCCTCTTCGATTGCAGGCTGACTGCATGCAGGAGAGCCATATGCACTGACCTGCCTGCGTATTGGCACTGAAAACAGAGAGTGTATTGCATATCGGCAACAGAGTGGCCCGCGTTCGGAGACGGCACCGCTCCAGGTGAGTCGTGTAGAAATGAACCGTTGTTTTGAGCAGAGGGAATGATTTACAAACACCACCCGACGGCCTATGACAATTATACAGCCGACACAGGAACGGTGCTTCCTGACACTTGGCTGAGTTCGGAAGGTGACATTTCCCATTTCTATGGCCCCTTTCATACGAGGATCCCGTAACACTTTACAGAGGTGAGCACTCCCTCCCTCCCCCAAATAATTCCTAAGGCAGGTACTGCTCAGGGCGGGAAACTGAGGCAGCACGCTGAAGCGACTTACCCCAGGTCCCTCAGCTAGTGAGCAGAGTCTTGGCTTGCAGTTCCCCGCTCTAACCACTAGTCCCTGCTGCCTCAAGTGCAACCAAACCTCTGGCAAACAAGACGACTCCTAGGACAACACACGAGTGTTTCTTGCGTGACGACACGCATTCCAGAGACATTTACCGTAAGCAGCGTATGGCTTCCCGCCGGCATCGCAAGCGTAAGGACAAAATGCAGCACTTGCGATAGACACTCTGCCGGCTTCCCCTCGCCAGCGTGTAACTGTCGCACCCCCTGGAGGGTTCTGCTTGTTATAACAAGACAGCCAACTCCATGCTAGGAAGAGACGCTCCTTACGCAATTGTAAGCCAGTCCCTACCTACAGCTTACAGACCACAGCCCTGGGCACACTGCAGGCCCCATAGTCACACCCATTAGAACTCAGAGTAATCAAAGGCTTTATGAGACCCACATTTAGCACCACTAGCGGGAGGCAACCGTACTGCCTGCACTTTTAACCGCCACCGAGCTGAGCTCTGCCATGCCAGGGCCAGATCAGCCGCCTCCCAACGCTAACCGCACTGCCGAGAGGAACGAACCCACCGCGCCAAGTCGAGATGCTACCTGGCTCGCTCCCTGATAATGCCAATGGGGCGTTACCCCAACAGGACACCCCTCCCCCCGCGGAAAACTGGCAGGGGTTGCATCTGGGACACACACACACAGCTTGTAGCTTGGTCACAGTTTTTATTTGCTTTCAGAAGCAGACTTGATTCATTGACCCACATTCCCGTTACTCCTGGCGAGTAACTACAAGTACCGCACTGCCATGCCAGGGTCACCTGTCGGTCCCGCATGGCTACACATCAGCATCTTTTTTATTGAGGGGGGAGGAAAATAAACAACTCAAAAAAAGTTCAACAAAAAATAAATATAAACCTTTGCAATCCTTCTGTTGCTCAGGTGCTAATGGAAAAGAGCATCCCCCCCTTCCAGGTCCCAGCAGTTGTCCCCGCCCACCCCCACCCTTGACTACACAGCATGTGTTTAAAAAATATACTTTTTTTTCTTAATAAGGTTCCATAAAAATACTATTGTTCCTAGTCAAACACAAATATTGCAATATGAAGAGTAACTGCTTTGTTTTTGCTCTATAAAACGTGAAAAGGTCTCACACCGATTAATGTAGAAAAAACGCAAGAACTCTAGTATCACAAAAGCCAGTAGAAAATGAGCAAGGTGAAAGAATGCCAGGGCCGTTCGGGATTCCTTCTGGTTTCTACCGGGCTCTTTTTACTTAGGCCTGTCATCCCAGTAGCCCAACGCAGCAGTTTGGCTCCTAGATTTTGCCCCGTGTGCTTTGTGGCCTCTGGCTTTCCCTGAGCAGCGGCAATAGAGCTGAGTAGCAGACCGCTCGTGTCCTCGGGAGGGCGGAGGGCCAGCGTCTCAATAAATACTCTGACCAGGTTAAAAAACGCTCAACACTTTAAAAAAAAAAAGTATGATGCGAAGAATTGAAAACTCAGGTATTTTACAGAAAATGCATCATTGTTTGTCGTACTCATGAACTGCAACAATAGGAGGCTCAACGGTGCCAAGGAGCATCTACTAATAAATAGAGATTGATATATACTCCGCATATGGATATGAAATGCCCAACTGGAAAACAACCAGCCGTCTGGTAAGGCCACCTTTGCCTCTTCCCCTCCAGCAGGGGTCACCCTCACCAGACCACGCTCGCTCACCGTTCCGCTGTGCAACAAAAGAGCCGCCTCATTGAGCCAGGTGCGGCTGAAAGAGATGAGCTGCCTAATCGCTAGGGAATGCAGAGGGGCTAGCTAGTGCGGCACCTCGCCCAGCGGAAAGGCGACCTGTGCAAAGGATCCACACCGCTGCTCAGCAGTCGCCTTCAGTTCTCCGAGAGGGAGAGGGCCAATGCAGCCTGCAAGGCTGCTTCTTCGTCGATATTATAGTCCTGAAAACAAGAAAGGGAGCAGGTCAGAGGGGCTGAAGAGGAGTCGATGTCTCCCCCCCGCATCGGTGAGCTGCGTCTGCCCGGGGGCTCAAGCCTCCTGGGACGGTCCCCAGAATGCCAAGCGGAAAGAATCTTCACATCGACCTTCCTTTTGGATCACGGACGCTGTCAAACCAGCCACCAGCGCACCAGAAAACCTCCCCTGTGCAATTTGCCACCCCCTCCGACAGGCCAGGCTGGGAAGAAGAGGAGACGAATTGACTTTTCTACGGGCGGTGCTTGTATTTTAACAGGACGGTGGAGCTATACTGGTCAGTTCTCAGCTTCGCTCTCACAGCAGGAAGACTCAGCCAACGGACAGGGTGTTATTTACCAAGTTGCCAACCCCGCAATTTTTCTCCCCCATGGCCAAATTTGGACATAAGCGACATGACCATGAGGGGCCTTTGAAGGATGAAACGTGCGAATAGTTCAAAGCTTCATATTTGTCCTCTGAAGCCAACAGTCCCGCTGGAATCTAATCTGCCAAGTGATAACGGCAGATACAAACAGGAGTTTATCTACAAGGTCCCTGGAGCAGGGCTGGCCTGGCTGCAGCCTTTGAGGGAAAAGTACCACCCCACACACAGATTAACAGGGAGGTAGACCTGCCAGAGTGCTCTTTGGCACACCCCATGGCGCACACGCACGCACGCTCCATATTTCTAAAGCTCTCCGGAGCTCAGATTCCAACGCTGCTGCGCACAAGCATGTCCGAAAGGCTGCAGGGCTGGGCTTAGCTAGCCCCCCAGCTGTTAGCACGACACAGGTATTTGCTAATGGCCACATCATGGGCCTTTGCTGTGGGAGATGCCAGTACAGCCTGCGCCGCCTCCCACCGAGGGAGATCTTTCTGAGGCTGGCTCCACAGGCTGTCTTGAACAGGGAGTACTCGCAGCGTCCTAGCAGGCAGCCTGCCAAATGCAGCCCTGCTCCCGAAATAGAGCCTTTCCCCCACTCAAAATCCTCGTTCGCCTAGAGTTTGCCACGTCCAGGTGAGATCCAGCCTGTAGCCTGAGTCTGGTACGAACCTGACAACGCGTTTGGCTGGAACTTTGTAACCCTAGTAGGGTTTGAGTGTCACGTTTCTTGCTTGCTTTCCAGCGTGTTTCAATGGGACACATGAGCAGGACAAGCCAATAGGAAAGAAATACTCTTCCTCTCCCAACCTCACTGCCTGGCCTCATTGCCTAACCCTAACCCTAACCCTAAGGTCGTCTGCCAAAGGTCGTCCCTCAGCCTGTAAGCTCTTTGGGGCAGGGACTCGCTTCCATCCAATTAGGGATGTGACAATGTAGCCGACTGACCGATTAGCAAAAGATTAGAGGTTAATGCTACAGACTACACACCCAGCCCTGCCAGGAAATTTTTTAGCAGGCTGGCCAGCAGCCTGGCTCGCGACGGGTCCTGGACCTACCCCCACTGCGGCTCTGCATTTCAAGTGTATGAGCAACCAGGCGGGCAGGCAGCCTGGCTCACTTCTGGTTCGCGCTGCGTCCAGGAGCTCAGCTCTCCTCTCCCCCAGACAGGGGCTGCTGCCACCTCACGCTGCTGCCTCTGTATCAGAGGCAGCAGTGCGGGGTGACAGGCACCTGGTCCATGAGGGGAGCTGGTTTTTAAACTGGCTCCCCTTGCAGACTGGCTCCTGCCTGGCACCCTGTGCTGCTGCCTCGGATCCAGAGGCAGCAGCGCGGCGTGGCAGGGGGTTCCTCGGGAGTGGGGTGGAGCACACTGGCTGCCGGCGGCAGAATAGTCGAGTGACCAATAAGAATGCATGAGGTTAATCCACTATTCAATTAACCGATATCTGACATCCCTACTTCCAGTCATTTCCAGATCCTAGCTCTGTGGTTCCAGATCCCTCCCTAGTGCATCTCGGTGTTCCTGCAATAACATAGTGAAGCGGCCGACATGGAGACGACAGCAAAAGCAACATACAGCTGTCTCCCAGAAGTGCAGGCCACAAAAACAAAGCTCAGCCTTCAGACAGGACTTCTTCCCACGTGAGGGGAACTTCCTACAACGCCACAGCCTTTTGCAGAGTCTTGCTTCCCCAGTCCAGCATGTGTTTTGTCTCGGTAGAGATGTGAGTCTACATAGGAGGCAGATGTTATTTTGAGACCCCTTCGCTGGCTGAGACAGGTACCTGGCATACAGAAGGAAACCTCCCTCCCCCCTGCCCCCCCCAAAAAAAGATACCAGTAACTAATAGCCCAGCATGAACACTGCAGTGATTGCATACAAGAGAGATATTCTTACTTCTCACATGGACCAGCCATCACCAGCTGATTAAGGACTAGAATGTGGCCAAAGGCTAGAACGTGGCCAATGGGAACGTGGGCAAGGGCTAGAGCGCGGCCGGGGTTAGGACTGGAACGGGGGCAAGGGCTAGAGCGTGGCCGGGGATAGGACTGGAACGTGGGCAAGCGCTAGAGCGTGGCCGGGGTTAGGATTGGCACGTGGGCAAGGCCTAGAGCGCGGCCGGGGTTAGGACTGGAACGGGGGCAAGGGCTAGAGCGTGGCCGGGGATAGGACTGGAACGTGGGCAAGCGCTAGAGCGTGGCCGGGGTTAGGATTGGCACGTGGGCAAGGCCTAGAGCGCGGCCGGGGTTAGGACTGGAACGGGGGCAAGGGCTAGAGCGTGGCCGGGGATAGGACTGGAACGTGGGCAAGCGCTAGAGCGTGGCCGGGGTTAGGATTGGCACGTGGGCAAGGCCTAGAGCGCGGCCGGGGTTAGGACTGGAACGGGGGCAAGGGCTAGAGCGTGGCCGGGGATAGGACTGGAACGTGGGCAAGCGCTAGAGCGTGGCCGGGGTTAGGATTGGCACGTGGGCAAGGCCTAGAGCGCGGCCGGGGTTAGGACTGGAACGGGGGCAAGGGCTAGAGCGTGGCCGGGGATAGGACTGGAACGTGGGCAAGCGCTAGAGCGTGGCCGGGGTTAGGATTGGCACGTGGGCAAGGCCTAGAGCGCGGCCGGGGTTAGGACTGGAACGGGGGCAAGGGCTAGAGCGTGGCCGGGGATAGGACTGGAACGTGGGCAAGCGCTAGAGCGTGGCCGGGGTTAGGATTGGCACGTGGGCAAGGCCTAGAGCGCGGCCGGGGTTAGGACTGGAACGGGGGCAAGGGCTAGAGCGTGGCCGGGGATAGGACTGGAACGTGGGCAAGCGCTAGAGCGTGGCCGGGGTTAGGATTGGCACGTGGGCAAGGCCTAGAGCGCGGCCGGGGTTAGGACTGGAACGGGGGCAAGGGCTAGAGCGTGGCCGGGGATAGGACTGGAACGTGGGCAAGCGCTAGAGCGTGGCCGGGGTTAGGATTGGCACGTGGGCAAGGCCTAGAGCGCGGCCGGGGTTAGGACTGGAACGGGGGCAAGGGCTAGAGCGTGGCCGGGGATAGGACTGGAACGTGGGCAAGCGCTAGAGCGTGGCCGGGGTTAGGATTGGCACGTGGGCAAGGCCTAGAGCGCGGCCGGGGTTAGGACTGGAACGGGGGCAAGGGCTAGAGCGTGGCCGGGGATAGGACTGGAACGTGGGCAAGCGCTAGAGCGTGGCCGGGGTTAGGATTGGCACGTGGGCAAGGCCTAGAGCGCGGCCGGGGTTAGGACTGGAACGGGGGCAAGGGCTAGAGCGTGGCCGGGGATAGGACTGGAACGTGGGCAAGCGCTAGAGCGTGGCCGGGGTTAGGATTGGCACGTGGGCAAGGCCTAGAGCGCGGCCGGGGTTAGGACTGGAACGGGGGCAAGGGCTAGAGCGTGGCCGGGGATAGGACTGGAACGTGGGCAAGCGCTAGAGCGTGGCCGGGGTTAGGATTGGCACGTGGGCAAGGCCTAGAGCGCGGCCGGGGTTAGGACTGGAACGGGGGCAAGGGCTAGAGCGTGGCCGGGGATAGGACTGGAACGTGGGCAAGCGCTAGAGCGTGGCCGGGGTTAGGATTGGCACGTGGGCAAGGCCTAGAGCGCGGCCGGGGTTAGGACTGGAACGGGGGCAAGGGCTAGAGCGTGGCCGGGGATAGGACTGGAACGTGGGCAAGCGCTAGAGCGTGGCCGGGGTTAGGATTGGCACGTGGGCAAGGCCTAGAGCGCGGCCGGGGTTAGGACTGGAACGGGGGCAAGGGCTAGAGCGTGGCCGGGGATAGGACTGGAACGTGGGCAAGCGCTAGAGCGTGGCCGGGGTTAGGATTGGCACGTGGGCAAGGCCTAGAGCGCGGCCGGGGTTAGGACTGGAACGGGGGCAAGGGCTAGAGCGTGGCCGGGGATAGGACTGGAACGTGGGCAAGCGCTAGAGCGTGGCCGGGGTTAGGATTGGCACGTGGGCAAGGCCTAGAGCGCGGCCGGGGTTAGGACTGGAACGGGGGCAAGGGCTAGAGCGTGGCCGGGGATAGGACTGGAACGTGGGCAAGCGCTAGAGCGTGGCCGGGGTTAGGATTGGCACGTGGGCAAGGCCTAGAGCGTGGCCGGGGTTAGGATTGGAACGTGGGCTGGCCGCGGTACCCACCACAAAGGTGTCGTAGGAGAACTTGTGCCGGTGTAGAAGATGCTGCAGGAAGTTGGCGCTCTTGTAGCTGGGGTCCCCCCAGGGCATCGCCGAGCAGACTGGGCACACCTAGAACAGACCGGGGAGGAAAGGGGAAGTCATGAAACAGCAGTGTGGTGCCGTTCCTGGATCTCTGCCTGCCCCCCCCCCCACCAGCAGGGCGAACTTCCCTTTTCATTTCTATCAGTTGGAAACCATTTCTGCAAATACCCTCTTTGAGAAAAGCTGCCCACGTGCACACGCTGGAGAGCGAGGCACAGAGAAAGCCTCCCCGCTCACAGGTGCCATTTGAGAGATTGCTACACCTGATGTGTGGCACACATGTCCCACGCTGCGTGAGTGTGTGTGGTGTGTGGAAAAGTAAAAAGGCGTTTGCAAGCTGCAGAAGAGCCTGTAAATTCTCCCCTTTGTTTAGCATTGATGAGCGCTGAACACGATGGGCTCCTGGCCAGAATGGGACCCAGAAAATACGATCAAATCGGTGCAGAGTTCCCTGCAAAATGCTGTGCTGCTTCTGTGAGCTTACAGGCAAACTGCACTTAGGGAAACAGAGGAAGCCCAGGAGGCCCTCAGAAGTCCCCACCTATTGCAGTGGAAAGCAAACGGCAAAGCAAAACCATGCGAGTTAGGAGGCAGCATGGAAATCAAGGCTTAACCCAGTTCTCCCTCTGCAGCGCACCTGGAGCAGGGCTCTGTAGCTGCCCGTCTGTGGGATTTAACACAGATTCAACGGGCTAGACATGCACAAAGCATTTCAAGCCCAGAAGCAGACGTGTGCACCTGCTGGCTTTGAACAGAGAACTGATAAAACGGCACGGATTTCCAATTCCCCAGAGGTCGCCCTGCTCCCGTTCTTTGCCAGGAAGACATTCCTGAGCAAAGAGCCAGGCCCAGGCTGCAGGGCCACGTTCTCGCCAGGCTGACGGAGGAAAGCTCACCACTTTGTTGGGGTCGTTACGGTGGTTTTCCATGCAGTGCTTCACCAGCTCCTGCTGGTCCAGGTTCCGGGCTCCACAATACGGGCAGACAAAAGTGGAACGGTTTGGAATATTGCTAGAAACAAACAGCAGTGCAGAATTCAACACAGAAACCAACAGGGAAGAGGCCAGGTGAAAACTGAACAGGCTGCATAGAGACAAGCCAACGCCAGGGGACTCCAAAGAATCTGACACACCGTAAGTTTCTTTTGTTTAAAAAAAATATACAGGCTCCCTCACCACAGACACTAAACACCACCCTAGACTGAAGGCAAAGGGCCAGATTTTGATCGTGTGCTGACGCAGGGCTCAGTGAAATGATTCCAGATTTGTATCACTGTTCGTGAGAACAGAATCAAGTTCAAAACGTTTCAGAAGTCTAGCTCACCTGTTTTACCAGCCATGCAGTTTGCTTTCTGCATCTCCCCCAGCCAGCAAAACAAGTCAGTTTTACTTTTGTTTCCAGGCGGTTCCTAATCTATTTCCCTGGGTTCTGATGCACTGGACCAATGCTGCACAATGTTAGAGCTGCGAATGACGCAGGGGAGTCCTGTTCAAGGAAAAACTTTTCCACTGGATTTTTTTTTTAAACACGCAGACATTCCTGTTAGGGTCAGGTTTTGGAAAGCCCTATTGAGAAATCCCTCTCAAATTCAAGGCCAGATTTGCCCCGAGAGTCTGTGGTTCATCTTGTGGCACCATTTCAATAGCGACTGTTGCAGAAAATGAAATGAGAATCGTCCCCAGGGAAGTAGCCTGATTTGGTGTTTTAATACCTGGGAATCGGCTGCGAAGTTGGGACCACCGGAACAAACTTTGGGCAGTTGGCCATCTGTTCTTGAACCTTCGCGCAGGAGGAAACATGGGATCTCATCTTCGCTAGGGTCACCTGGAAAGGCACACAGAGGGGGATGAAGAGGAGAGCCTGGCCAATCTTTGAGCACTTCAAGGAGCAAGGGATGCAGAAAGAAGAAATCAAGGCAGATGCCACGCTCGATTTGAGCAAGCAGCCTCCCCACACACTTTCCGACGGGCATCCGAGGACAGGCGCCAGCACCAATGTGAACTGCTGGGCCAAAGCATTACAGCCAACCAAAACAACGAGCTGACCTGCAACAGCGAGGAGAGGAAGGGTGGGAATGGGGCAAGTTAGTCTAGCTGAGCCCATCTCCTGCTGCCAAAGCCCATTTCCTTTTCGCAAGACCAAAGCAAGTCTTGGCAGAGCTCTTGCCATGCCAGGCAACCCAACCCTGACAGCAACAAGGCCCAAAGGCACGCAGGCAGCTATGGGAAACCTGGCAGCAAGTGAAGCGAAAGCGCAGCAGAGAAAGGGTCTCAGGTGTCCGCGTCACAAGGGCACTGCCACAAAAGAACAACTTTACCACCGGTCGCAGGGACACCCAGGCACAATGGCCTAGCTGGACCTCCTCTCTGCCGCGTCCTCTAGGGCTGTCAATCCAACTGCTTTTGCAAGCTCTAGAGCCGGGCTACTCAACTTCGGAAGCCCCGGGGGCCACACTGATACTCACAGCACATGCCGAGGGCCGCAACTTAAGTGAGGTTGCAGAGACATGCAAATAGATATGCAAATAGCTTCTTTCACACTGACGGGCCTGAATACAAAGATTAAGACAAGACAACACCACGCAGGCCCCATTTAAGTCTGTTCTGCTGATATTAATAAAATGGAACATCTACCAGACTTCCACCCATGTGACAGCACTTTACACGAGCAGTGACAGGCCAGGAATGTAACTACTAACACGCATCTCAACAGAAGACCACTCTATTGACTCCCTTGTTGCTCTGGCTTCACAACAGTCCAAGAACGTAGTTACTAAACCACATATCACATGGTAAACCCAAACCGCGCCGGGGGCTGCAAACGAACAGGCTGCATGTTGAGTAGCCCTGCTCTAGAGGGAAGAGCAGCCCTCCCTGTTCGTCTGCTCATGACCAAGAGACGAAACGCCAGCTGGAGCAGTTGAGCTGTGTCTCGCTCTGTGTCTGTGCTGCCCAGGCTGCTCGGGAAGGCCCCACTGTTTTGCTGATGGCACTAGTCTACTGCCAAAGGGTGGTAGGACGAAGAGAGGTTTCCTCTCACCAAGCAGCCAAGCCTGTCAGAGCTCACGGCCCTTCATGCAGGGGGCTCATAAGCACCAGCAGCGCAGGATCGTGCAAAGGGCCTACACCTAAGGACTAACGGTGAGCAGCACTGCATGTGGGACTCACGCTGCTGCCTCTGTATCAGAGGCAGCAGCGTGGAGGGCAGGCAAAAGCCAATGCACACGGGGAGCTCCCCCCCTGCAGTGCCTGCCCCTGCAGAGGTAGCAGAGCGGGGGCTGCCGTTTGACTGCCTCCCCATCTGGGGCAGAAATCCAGTTTTCTTATGACACTGGGGCACCTTGTTTGCAGCACGGCCCCCAGGTTCCTCACCACATGCCTGGCAGCGGAGCATCCCACTTGCTCCCATCCACAATCTCTGGAGATCCAGGACGTTACCCGTGGAACAGACATAAACCCACACTCGTCTGAGCAGGGGCAAACCCTTCCTCGGTACAATGGGCCATAGGGGTATCTCCCAGACCTGTCCTGTCCCCCCCCACCCCAGGTACGGGGCAGTCCCAACTGCGCCCCTCAGATGGATTACCTTCTTACTGCACCCTCTGCACGGAGCCTTGTAGGAGGACAACTGCTTTTCCACGTTGGAAGCCTTCTCCACCTTTTTGGGGTCAAAGGGCATGCGGCAGAGCGGGCACAGAGGAGACGGCACTTGGAGACATGGCTGCAAACACTCCCCGCAAAATCTGGAAGGGAAACCAAACTGTCAAGCGGCTTGGCAGAGAGACATTACAGCTGCTCCTAGGAAGCCCTGCCCACCGCCTCCTTGCGGGCCCCTCACTACAGTAACGCAGGAATTGACCCGACACGGTCAAAGGGCATGCGGCAGAGCGGGCACAGAGGAGACGGCACTTGGAGACATGGCTGCAAACACTCCCCGCAAAATCTGGAAGGGAAACCAAACTGTCAAGCGGCTTGGCAGAGAGACATTACAGCTGCTCCTAGGAAGCCCTGCCCACCGCCTCCTTGCGGGCCCCTCACTACAGTAACGCAGGAATTGACCCGACACAAGTCATGGAAGGGGGCAGGAGCTCTTTGGTAGCCACTGAGGATGTAGTAACACCTGAGACCTAGCAGGGAAACAGGCCTGCTGGAGATCCAGCAGACTGGTCCAATGCAGGGAGGATCTCTCGGTGCTCTACTAACGCTCCAAGAATATACAGCGATCAGTTCCTGTCAAAAGCAACGATGGAGCAGCCCCTGCATGCGGCCAGCCTGGGCTGCGGTGCAGGGAGCCTCTGCCCACAGTGAGTCTCAGCCCGGCGTGAGCAGAGGCTGCTTTGCAGCAGCTTCCCCTCTTCCCCGCCCCTCCTGTTGCCTCCGATAGAGGCAGCAGGGCAAGGAGAGTGAAGAGCCGCTATTTCAATTGCTTACTCGCTAACATTCCTAATCCGGATGTGCCCAGCACGGATCGCTTGGGGGCTGGGTTTCCAAGAGAGGGACTTCCACAGAGCTCCACATGCCCACTGCAAGCGTGACCCCCACAGGCTGAGTGCATAAAGGCTGCTTCCCCTGCTGGAAGGCAGGCTTCCTCCCCAACAGCCAGACAGCCCACGTCACCTCTGGCCTGCTGTGGTTAAGAAGTTCCGGCTGTGCAACGAGGCTCTGCGTTTTGCGGCTGGGGGGCTAGCTCTTCTCCTGCAGCCTCGCTGGCAGGCCCGCCTGAGACTCAAGGGGGCTGCAGATCACACGCACGGAGAGATGGTGCAGACAGCTAGCAATGCCAGCTTTGGGGCAAAGTCAGATCTTGAACCCAGGTTCCTGAGCCTGCAGGAATTAGGGGCGTGTCAACGGAATTGACCCTTGGGGTGGGGGCACCCTTCAATGGCCTGGCCCCTCATTAAGGAAAACAGCTCCTGCATCAACAGGGAGGCTGGCTTGCAGCCTGCTGTTTCTGCACAGCTGGACAGGCAGCTGACATGCAGCAGTGATGGGGGCCAGAGCGGTGTTCAGCTACCCAGGAGACAGCAGGCCTGCGAGTGACATTCTTGGCACACTGCAGCTTTGAACCAAGCCTGAGAACCTGGCCGCTAACAAAGGCCAGGGGTGCGGCCTGCCTCTGCGCATGAGACTGTCCGTCTAGGAATCCACCTGCACCTCGGGGTCACACCTGAGTGAGGCCTTCCAACACGACTGTCTTGCGTAGAATCCCTGGCCTGGCAGAGACGTCAGGAGGCATCGAGTCCAGCCCCCTGCCCAAAGCAGGACCCACCCCAACTCAATCAGCCCAGCCAGGGCGTTGTCAAGTCGGGACTTCAAAACCTTTAGGGATGCAGATTCCACCCCCTCCCTAGGGAACCCCTCCCAGTGCTTCCCCGCCCGCCTAGGGAAATAGTTTTTCCTACTATCTAACCTAGACCTCCCCTGCAGCAACTTGAGCCCATTGCTCCTTGTTTTGTCATCTGCCCCCACTGAGACCAGCCTCTCTCCATCCCCTTTAGAACCCCCCTTTATGTGGTCAAAGGATGCTCTCAAATTCCTCCCCACTCTTCTCTTCTGTAGGGATGTAAGCAACTAGTTGGCTCTTAATATACTTGAAAAGCGGAGGTGCAGCGTTTTGGACCCGGCATGAGCCAGGACAGCTCCACACAATCTCCCACCGCTGCGCCTGCTGGCTCTGCAGCGGGGTTGGCTCCCGGGGTTTTCCCCCTTATCGACTAATTGAGTCATCGATGGAAGTTCAGCGACTTATCGATTAGCTGATTAAACACAATTTAACATCCCTTCTCTTCTGTAGGCTACACAAGGCCAAATCCCTCAGCCTCTCCTCATAGGCCATGTGCTACACTAAGCAATTTAGAAATGTCTGGAGAGGAGGGACAGCTCTCTGTGTCCGAAAGCACTAGGAGAACCAGCTGCAGCAAGCCACTGGTAGAGCAGCCGGCCTGGGACCAGGTATGGGGTGCTGGGAATACCACCTTTAACAGGAGGTGTCTGTGGGCATATAGTGAGAAGGGGCGTTTGGGCACCATCCCATGAAGCAGATAGGCACCTACTGCCCTTTGCAGACTCCACGCTGCACTGCACAGTGCCCCGCGAATAAGAGCTAACTGCATGCCGTGTGTGTTCATGCACAAAACACAGGTCGGGAGAGAGCGCTCCCCCGTGCCCCCCAGGAGGGCAGGGAGCATTCGAGCAGTGCTCCGGAGAGCATCAGGGAGGCAGCCACCCAGGTAATGTGCTTTCACTGCAGATGCTCACACGATGACTTTCAAAAGGCAGCCATTTCGAGCTACGAGGGAGGCCAAGGCACAGTGAGATGAGGCTGGAGATCCCCTCCCCTCCAAGCTCTTATGCTTTCAAGGGCAGAAACTTCAAGCGCCATAGAGCAAATTCTGGGAACTAAACTGTTCGGCTGGAAACAAACCTCTGGGCTACGAGCACGGGGGTGGGGAGAGAAAAAGGGAAAGTGGCAAATCCGGCGTGGTAGCACGCCAGCCCCCCCGACGTGAAGTGCCTTGTGCAGGGCGGAGCCGCTCGATGGCCGCCTGTTGGCATCTCGAGGGAAAGGAAAAGTGCACTCATCTGTCAAGGTGAGCGGAGATCCCCGCACAAATAAACCAGGAGCTGCAGCGGGCATGGAAAGTTCCCAGGGAGCTCTATGCAGAACCCCCCCACCCTCCTGCTCCTCCAAGATAAGCTCAACAGCTGTGAAATAGACCAGCAGGTCCTACACACACGTCATTATTATTTATGGTCAATAATCGGTTCGTCAGCAGCTCCCCAACAACACAGAGCGGCGTCTCCCAACATTGTCTTGCTGCCCGGCACTCCCTCCTGGTGTGGGGATGGATGTTTCAATCTAGAACGTCTGGGGTCCCATGAATGTATGAGAGCTGGAAATCCCCCCTCCCCCATTTCAGACTGGGTCAGACCAAAGGTCCATCTGGCCCAGTGCCCTGTCTGTCCACAGTGGCCCATGCCAAGTGCCCCAGAGGGAGTGAACAGAACAGGGAATCATCAAGTGATCCCTCCCTGTCACCCATTCCCAGCCTCCAACAAACAGAGGCTAGGGACACCATTTCTACCCATCCTGGCTAATAGCCATCAATGGGCCTACCCTCCAGGTATTTATCTAGCTCCTTTTTGAACCCTGTTAAAGTCTTGGCCTTCACAGCCTCTTCTGGCAAGGAGTTCCACAGGTTAACTGTGCATTGTGTGAAGAAAAACTTCCTCTTATTTGTTTTAAACCTGCTACCTATTAATTTCATGAGGCAACCTCTAGCTCTTGTGTTATAGTAACAAGTAAGCAATTTCTCCTTATTCGCTTTCTCCACACCAGTCATGATTTTACAGACCTGTAATCATATCCCCCCCCCCCCCCTAGTCTCCTCTTTTCTAAGCTGAAGAGTCCCAGTCTCTTTAATCACTCTTCATTTGGCACCCTTTCCAAATCCCTCCTCATTTTTGCCACTCTTTTCTGAGCTTTTTCCAGTGCCAAGATCTCTTTTTTGAGACTGGGAAGAAAAGTGAAAAATCTCACACTTCGGAACTTTTTCCGTTTCAGATCAGTCTGAACACCGGGTTTCGATTTTACCTTTCTTCTCTCGCCCGCCCAGTCTAATTAGATGAACATTTCAAAAAGGAAGAGTCATTTTGACCCAGACAACCAGAATTTTTCAATTTGAAAATGTCAGGACAAATTGTGGCTCTGTCACATGCAAGTGGCTCCATCCCCCCATATCCCAGCTGTCTATTAGGAAACACAATCGGCCCTCTTTTGCGTCCTCGCACCCTTGACCCATCTGGCCTACTTAGCTAAGCTCTGCAGGGCAGGGGCTGTCTCCTCGCTGTGTGCTGACACGGCACCCGAAGGCCTTGCCTCCCTGGGACATAACATGGTACTAACACAGGCAAATGATAACGCAGAGCCCTGTGGTATGGGCTAGTTCCTACACCCGCCTTGTGTCACTTGCTTCATTTCCTGCCACTGGCATGACAGTCTCCAGTGTCCCCCCCACCCCAGCTTGGTGCAAAGACAGACCCTCTCACACACTGAAGGCAGCAAGTGTCCCCAAAAGCTGCTCTTCCTGCCAGGCTCTCTGGATCGACAGCATACAGGGAGGGAAGTGGCCGCATACAACCTGCTTCTGCTGCTGGCAGAGCTCACACGGTCATAACCTGATGAAAAGCAGGGCGCCACCAGCGGACCTGCCTTCCAGCCGGGCTCAGCTCAGCAGCTTCCGGTGCTGCACTATGCACAGAGGCAGGCTCACCATGAGCCCAGCCCATGGGGCAGGCAGGGTGTCACATCCGGTGTTAAAGTCTGGTCAGCCACTCAAAGGCACTAAACCCGCAGCCGCTCCAGCTGCCGTCCTCGTGGGCACCGAGGCCTGCTCTGTCCCTCGGGCTCACGTTTTAGCTCCTGCAACTTCTTCCTAGTGAAGATGAGCGCTAAAGCATATGCTTATCGGATAGTCGACTTGACTAGTTGGGATGTTAGGAAGCAAGTCATTAGCTACACAATTAGTCGATAAGGGTGGAAGCCTCCGGGAGCTACTCCCCACTGCAGCTCTGCAGTTTAAATGTAGTAAGAGCCAGCCAGGCAGGCAGGCAGCCCAGCCCCTACTACATTTAATCTACAGAGCCGCAGCGAGCATAAGTCCTGGACCTGGCGCAAGCCGGGACTGAGCTGGGCTTGCTCATGCCGGGTCCAGCAGCTGGAACCCCTGCGGATAAGGGCTGCTGTCAGAGCAGCCTGTGTTCATGACCAACCCCATCCACCGTGGACAGGGACAAACCTGGGTCTGTTGCAGGCAGAGACTGCTTTGCAGTAGCCTCCTCTGCCCCCACCAGAGGTAGGGGGAGGTGGAACCAGGGAGACAGTGCTGTAGGGAACCAGCTTTTAAGGTGCTCCTCCCACCTTACTGCAAGGATTGCGAGGGGAGGGAATGCAAGTAGTCTACTGCTCGCTTACATCCCTAAGATCGAGGTGGAGATGTCCCAGATGTCAAAGGCAGCAGTAAGTTTCGTTGTTTCATTCAGTATTGCCAGAATTCAAGATGTGCTGGAA